TCGTGCAACAGCGAATGCTTCTGCATTCTATCAAAGAAAAGAATAAAAGTAAACAAAGCTCCAATTGCAGACAACCATCAATACGTCAGATAAAATTTTACTATGATCGTCTTTTTGAATCTATGGCATTTGGTACTTGTAAATTGGCTTTCTACTAGTTCAAGGTCGGTAAAATGACAGTTTTTTTTTAGAGAGAGAAAACTAAATTTTCATTAAAATAAGCCTTTAACATTTCCATAACCAACGATTGCCGATTGATTGATTAAGGAAGTGCGATAACGATTGCATATGCAGAAATATTTCAATATATACTACATACAACTCAGACGGTGACATTATTATAATTTTTAGTTATTCTTAAATTCTAAAGGTTACAAGATAAAGGTAGAAGCTGTGATAGCTCAGTGTCACGGTGCTCGCGTTTAATTCAATTTTACTTGAGCAACCTGAGCTCAAATCCCTCGATGCTGACTTATCACGGGCTCAGTGGCAAAGAAATACTTATTGAGGAAACCTGCGTATTTTCGAAATAATAACAAAAAAAATAGTTTTCATATTTATGCTGCTAATCGGCAGTGGGGTCACGTGGTGGGATGGGAAATATAGGTTACTTTATTTTTACTTTCTTTTTCTCGACATTTATGTAAGTTCTTTATTTTAGCAGTGCTTGATGCCACATAGAGTTCATTTTGAGTGCAGAAACTAGCACTAAAAATAAATTTTAATACCATAGGCGACATCTCTCGTTACAGATGTTCATCATTGAATGTTTTTTAAAGATGGTGTGGATCTATTGACCATGCTGAACCAATGTCATCATATCAAATGTAGGATTTAAAGTCTACAAGATGGATAGCTAAGAGTAAGAGAGTGTGTTCTCAGGACTGTACTCTACATACCCCTTATAGCAAAGGAGAAAAACTTTAATGCCAAGATGTTGATATTTGCCGGTAGATTGTAGGATTACACGAAAAAAATTGAACTAGTGTTGTTGTGATAATTTGCTTAAGTTGAGCTGCCGTCTTAGCTTTTCCTAATACGTGAATAGAGAGAGCTGGATAGTACAACAGTTTCACTGAAGACCAGCGAGCAGCGAGCAGAAGTGCTTGCACTTTTATATAGTTGATATTATGTGAGGCCCATGGAGTAAAAGAAATGACGTGCAAATACTAACTCTTCTCCTGAAAGTTACTATGCGGCTGCGCAATCGTAGAGTCGGTTAGCTTATGACTCTACTTAACGATAAGTTGCTTTGCGTGATAACTTGGCAAACGAGCAGGCGGTTTCTGGGTGGCATATGAAGTTTAGTGATTACCACCGCTTATGGTCATCTACAATATTATAAGGCTGTAGGGGTCCGACCTTTAAATCATTGAGCCTTGTTTACGATACTCACCTGACGTACTCTACGGCATCACAAGATAGTCACCGAAAAGTGGTTAATGGTAACTGGAAAAATGTTAAACTAGTGACTAACTTGTGATTTCGTAGGGTCTTCAACACACAAATGTACGAGTAGTTCGGTTTGTTGATTGAGAGTACTCGGTGGGTATTCTGATGTCTGAAGAACTGTGTGCACGCACATTCACTAAATGCTATTGATGTTCTAATAGTTTCCAGGCTGATTATAAGTTTGATTATAATTTTGTCGTAATTAATCAATATTAAAGCTTATTATTAGAAGAAGCTGAAGTGAAGAAGCTGAAGTGGCAGTGGGCTGGCCACATCTGTCGTAGAACCGATGAGCATTGGAGCGGACGGGTTCTCGAATGGAGATCACGGCTCGGAAAACGTAGAGTCGGACGTCCCCCTGCCAGGTGGACCAATGCCTTGAGAAATGGGTAGTGGCTGGATGAGGAAAGCGGAAGATCCTGCTCTGTGGCGTGCACTTGGGGAGGCCTATATCCAACAGTGGACCGCAAAAGGCTGATTGGATTGTAAATAGAAGAAAATAAATAAATAAGCCATAATTATTTATCCAATTTTTTAACAATAATAAGCATTGTTACTGTATCTTTATACTGTGTGCATCTGAAATAAGCGTACATATCAGAGCTATTGTTACAGGATACGTTGTGATATATATTTACACTAGTGTTTCAATAAAAAATATGGTAAAGAAGCAAGGCCAAAATATTATACGTGATCTTTATTGTTTCACAATTTGGGCAATTGACTACAATTAGTCATTGAATGGTTAATTCATTGGTGGGGAATAAAGCTCTGTGGTGACGAATAAACAGCAGTGAACAGCGTTGGTACACCTCCCACTATATGGACATGGCAACAGCGTATTTGTATTAGTAGTTTGTGTGGAAGGGCTTCAGTAGTAAGTTAGTAAGTAGTTCCAACGACCACTGCGACGTAATTAATATGAAACTAATGTCAAATACCTATCACTATTAACAAAATCTACAAATAGCTAGAATATTGAAAACGGCGGTTTGAAGACTTACTGTAGGATAACATTATCCTGTGTTGCAAGAACGTTTTATATACATCCGAAACACTTATCTGCGGTTCACGCAAATAGATGCATTGTGTGGGAATCGAACCCACGACGCCCGGCGCCGATGCCAATGGCTTAGCAACTTAAGATTCGGTCACAAAGTAAAAGTCTTCACGACGCTTTAACTTACTTATATTTTGTATGTAGTGTGAGCAAACAAATTTTAAACAAAGAACTTTTTTTGACCGCGCTGTTGTAAGCCGTGCTTTAAAAAGATAAACAGGGGTATATTTAAACACAACAACGGTCGACCTTTCATAAATTACGTCGCCTTGTTATGTAAATATTTTTTAAAATAAAGTCAAAGAACATTTAACAGTAATTAATGCATCAATGAAATATCCTCGTTAAGTAGTCGTGAAAGACTTCTTTTATTGGTGAAGGTAGCAAAAAGGCAGATGGGGGATTTGAAATAATTACCACAGCCTGCCTATAAGCTCGCGGGCTGCGGTTACTCGGCACAACAACAGGTGACGATTACCTCGCTCACCATGCACAGAACAAAAGTAAAAAATGCGTTTTACATCCCGTTTTGCGAGTAGTGGTGACTCCCATGATGCCTCACGATGAGCCTGGAGAAATTGCTGTGTAACTCTATCACTCTCGGCTCTACCTCAGTATAAAGAGATGAGATGCGTTAAATCCCAGATTTGATGAAACATAGCAGTTTCAGTGTTAAGGCACACTTAAATAAATCAAGGCAGCATGGAAAAATAATCCAAAGACACATTTAACCGTCTCCGCGCGTGCATTCACGAGAAGGAAATAATTTAAAGCGAAACGGAGGCGTCAGCCCCGCTTAACGAATAAAAAAGGTCCGAGACAACACAAACAGGCGCATTATAAAAAGGAACGTTGTGAATTCAAACTAAAACAAAAGAATTTTCAAATATTGAATCGAACGTTGCTCGAAAAGCTCGGGCCGAGTTGATTGGCTGAAAAAGGCCGACGCGCACATACCATTGGTCAAAAATAATGTTTGTGGAACTAACAATTTTATGCGGGGGAGATAAACCAAAACTCGACCGCAAATGTTGACAGAAGGTCTCCGTGGCAATGCAAAATGAATCTTACCTTTTTGCTAAGAGAATTGAGTTTCATTTCCTCTGTGGCAATAACTTGGATTAACGGTAAAATGACGAGTATGTATAATGTTGAGACGGAAAATACTATTTTCCTGCCGTGAGAGAAAGACCAATAACACTTGATGAAGGCAGCATTACATGTTCTCAAAATATCATTTTGAAGGTTCCACATACATTTACATTAATCAAATAAACTTATAAAGGTAAATTGTATGTTAATAAAATTTGGGAAAACTTCACCCTGCTTTAATTTAAATATTACTTTTTCAAGCAAATGACGTTTAACATATTAAATTAAATATGCAACGAAAAATATGCATGAGCCATCTTTACTTATTTGAATACATAAAATCTTCGATGGATCTTACGTTATTACTCTTGCCTTCTTTAAGTATTTCAATAAAAAAAACACGAAACGCCACTTATATCATTACTGTTTTAATGTTGTGGTGCTATTACAAAAACTATTTTGAAAAGCTATTTTACGGTATATTTACCGCAAAATAGTTTTTCAAGTAAATTTTAGTTTTTGAGCATCTTTACATGTATCGTGTTAAAAAACTTAATAAAATGACTTCACCGGAACTCCTAAACGAATAATCTTGTCGCTTCACTTAAACCAAATCGACACAAATGAAACGCATCATTATCAAAACCAACCCCTTATTTCGCGAAATAATTTTATTATAATAGATAATTTAAAACTGTCCAACTTCACCCCACCACAGGCAGATAAAAGAGAAATGGGAGGAGCTTGATGCAAATGGAGCACGGATAAAAATATAGGTGTCTCTTTCGCTCAAATGAGCAGTTTTAAATGCTGTAAGGAGCTTACAAGCGAGCTGAAACTCGATAATGGTGCGGTCTCTGTCTTCCTTGGCCATAGCGAATGGAGCTATCGCAATATCAGCCCTTCAGAGTCGTAAATTCGCTGTAGAGTCATAGTTCCACGTGAGATTGTGTTTTGTAATCAGTGGGGTCTCGCCTTTATTCTGGAGCAGAGGTACAATGTCCGCGCGTTTGACAGTTTGACGTTTAGTTTGGCGGGAACGCAATTCACGTGTTTTCTGTCGCACAAAAACTAGGAAATATTTAGAAGTTCGAATATATGAACAGTTTTAACGCTGAACGTAAGGAAACGTAAGGACAGAAAATTGTTAAAGTGATGTTGCTCACCGCAAGCTGAAGAAAGTCGTTGTTGCTATCGCAATAATTCGGATTTTTTTAATCAGTAATTTAAGGTAAGGTTTACCAAAATATTCAGAGAGTTTTATTTCTTTCCATGAAAAGTATTTCTAACATTTTCTATTAGTCGACACACTTATTGAAATCATTAAAAATTCTCCATTTTCCGAAAATAATCCTGTTTTCTCAGATTTAATACTGGCTTTTTTAACTTTCTGTTATCTGTTCCTTCCCATGAAAACGAGGGGCCGCTGAAAAAAAGAAAATCATTTCATATTCCGCATAAATTTTTGGTGATATTATCAATTTCGAAATAAAGTATATACAGGTCTAAATTTTTATTCAGGAAATTATATTTATAGTTATAGAATATTAAAACATCACTATTTTAATAATATATAATTTTACGAATAGGTACTTACCCCTAAGGTTCGCCGTGTTCTTCTAGTCGTTGTTTTAGTAACTTCTTTATCTATTCTAGAACTTTCTTTACTTGTTACCTCAGTGATGAACTCTGTGGTTGTAGTTGTCATCGTAGAGCTTTCTAGTATCAATGAAGTTAAACTTACTTCAGAAGTACTCTCTGTGCTTGTTTCCTTAGAGATCAATTCTGTGGTACTATCTGTAGATCTTTCTAGACTTTGTGTTGTTTGATTTACTTGCAATATCGAAGTAACATTTTCTATTTGTTGTGTTACAAAATTATTTGTACCTTCCCACTTATTTGTACCTTCTGTAAAATTAAAAACCTTATTTGTACCTTCTGTAGTTGTGAGATCGACTTCAGGATCGGTTACTTTTAGTTTTTTCTCTTTTAATGTGACTCTAAGTTTTTCCGTGGGCATAATTGGAGAGTATTTTGATAAAGTTATCGAATTTGTAATGTTCCTTCTGTTTTTCTGAAATTGATTTGAATCCCGGGTCAGTTTTGACAATTTAGTCGTCGTACCGATTGAGGTTTTCATTAAATTCTTTGTTTGCTGGATTGATTTTGTTGATGGTGTTTTTTTATTTATTAAAACTAATGTTTTATTGTTCTTATCGGACCATTTCCTTGGTATTGTTTGTACTACTTTCGGTGTCCGAAGGGCATAGTTTGACACGATTGTCAGTTCTTCTCTTTGGCTCATGATGCGATTGGTGAGAGCTTTTTTAAACTCCTCCAAAGTAAGATATGCGTTGGGAATTTTCGATTCAACGGGGTTGTCGATATAAATCAATGGATTGGTTTCACTTGCCGCTTCTTCTTTTATCATTAAATTGTGCAGTTTCAAACCGTTGACCGCTTTTAACTTCTTGATGTGAATCTTAAAATGATGGTTCCGAGTGTGAATCCGACGCGTGGTAACAGTTGAATCTGCCGAAGTAAAATATATGTTCTGCTTACTCAAATTTCCTTTATTTATTTTAAATTAATCGAATGCTCTGAAAATTACCTATATAAAGACCAGCGCATAAAAAGCTAAATGTTTATCATTGATATAAACAATTTTATTTAACATTTAAATTACCTACATTTCGAACACTTTTTAGGATTCATGGTCATAGGACGAGTTGTATCATAGCTATTATATACGTAATAACCGTAATTACAAATAGATTCAAGCTAATTATGTATAATAAAATATTACTAGCGTACAAGTAGATAAATCTATTAAGAGAAAAATTAAATTATGGGAGAATATTACGAATGAACTATTTTTTAAAGAATGGTTAATTTTTCAGTCGTTTCCATTTAATTTATGCAATACCATCTTAATTTCTATAAAACTGAAAAATCGCAACTCTTTAAATATACTCACATGAGGCATATCAACATATTAACCATTTACTCAAAAGAGAAGTTTTAACAGATAAAATTTATGAACATCGTGCTAATATCAACTTTTTAAATTAAAATCGTTTCCTACGACTTTACGAAGAGCATGGTCAAGAAAAACCTAATATTAACATTGAAAAGATGGACAATATAAGTAATACACGGATATTTCCGTCAAAATATTCATGGGCATGTCCAAAATTTTTCAAACTGGAGTAGACTTTTGAACAGGATTTTGTGATCACATTCCATAAATCCATTTCATGTTTTGTTTGAATATGCATTCCAACACGACAATTAAAGAACGGTAATAGTTGAATCGTATATATCATAATTTATAAAATGAGACCATTAATTGATGGAAATGTTCAAAATTCAGTCTATTTAACTGGTTTGTCTATCTAACATATATTTTTCAATGTTTATTTTAGATTTGTGATTATCATTCACCTTATAATAAATTCAAAGGCTAAATTACACTAATCGTACAAGTTACATCACTACCAAATTAGTTTGACTAGTAGTCAACTTGACGTGTAGTTGTCAACTTGTCTGTGGGTAGTTATTGACTATCGCCTGACCATTAACCTGATTATATATTTTATTTACATATAAGTGGTTAGCAAAAAAAAAAATTTTGTCGTTAGTTATGTTAGGAATCGAAGCAGATCCGTAGTTCAAACCACCCAATTGTCTGTCACAGTTAAATCATACACATGATGTCTATAAATCAAACTAGCTTCGTTAATGACAGCACACCGTTCAACCGTCTTATGAATCATTAGGTAATGAAGCTTGCAGTTGTAAGTTAAACGAAACAGCGTCCGCGTCATTGATCTGAATAAGCAAATATTATTGATGTTCAAAAGTGCGTAAAGATATATACTAACTCATAAATTAGTTATCGTCCGATGACAAACTTTTATAGCTGTGATTTCTAATATCAGTCATCTTACTCTTATCGTTCTATATTTATGTCAGACAACTAAAATATTATGATAAATAAAATTATTCATTATATACTATGTGACTTGATACTAAACCCTGTCTCGCTGAATGATTATACTTTTTAACTGCAAAAAAGGAAATGAAAACAGATTCCCTTATCTAGTATTTCAACTATAATTTGGGCTCACAATTCTTTAAAAAAATTACTTCAAGTTACAAAAGCAAATGACAAAGACATAAGTCGTAACTACAAGATTTACTTACTTCAGCAGCGTCATTGTATGAGATCTCTTATCGTGACGATCTCGTTCATGATTCTTATCGTAAACGCGGTAAACTGCAACTGATTTAGTATTTGAAAATATGAAAAGCATAATTTGGAAAAAAAACTGGCTGCAAAAACCACTTTAATTTTTTTGCAAAAGTCAAAGACAAATCGCCGTAATAGATCTATTTGATTCTCAAGATCTTATAAGAATTTAAAGTAAGCAATACGAGAACGCATAATAGAATATGTTAAAAACTTTATTTATTTTACTGTCTAGTTTGGAAATCATAAGAAATGTATTGACATAATTATCTTATTCATATAATTAATTTAGTCCTTTTTTTTAATCTTGCTGTACTATTAAAATTAGTTGTAGTGCTTGCAGGCATTTTCGATTTTATATGCAATCTTTTCGAAATATATACATTTTTTTATTAGCTCTTTGCAAATTGAAGCCTCCTTTTGGATATTTTCGATTTTATTCACAAATTCAAATTTGATTTTTTAATCGGTGTAGGGAGTAGCTTTTTAATCCAATTGAGACGGAATAGGCCGTAATACTTAGTGTAAAAATATCATATAGAAATATCAGGTAGATATGACTTTAGCGCATCGAAACTGTAACACTAAAATTACACGAATTGGTGTAATTAGATTGCAACTCTATAGGCTAATCTATTTTCGTATCATACGTTCTATATCATCTGTCACATTTGCTTATATTTGTCATATAGGTACGTAAAGCGACACAATTTTTAAATGCCGCGTAGTATGGACATGCGTCAACTTTATTAAAACATCATTGAAGTGTATACAACTGTATATTTTAGGTCACATAATTACAACTTTTATTTAATTTTTTGTTTGAAGCGAGGAAGATACATATGGTTTGAACAAAATGTTTTCTTCGTTTTGAATGGAGTTTATTTTATTGTAAAATTACTTATAATTAATATAGACAATTTAATTATTGCTGTTACTTTAATCATTTTATCGATTTGTAACAATTATTGTTATAGTGAAGAACGTGACGGATAGACATGACAATTTAGATTTAATACCGTTAAGTTTTCCCCCAACCTGCCTAAAGAAGTTTCACATCAAAATAAAATAATAAGACGATTAATATACTTGGATGTTAGACAACATACCATCTTCCACGGCTTCCTTGTACTTCGAATACAGCTCCGAGATCAAATCGTCAGATATTCCAGTTATCGTTACGTCCTCGCCAAAAACCGTAACGACAGCATTGAGCGCGTATAGAAAAAACAAACAACGTCTGCAGAAGTGAAGATAGAAAATATGAAACATTTTATTAGTCTACATATTGTGAAACGGCGATTGTGAAAGGAAAAAACCGAAACCACCCGAACCTGATTAAGTTGGACGCTTGAACGCTCCGTTGATTTTTAATTTTCAATAATATTACGTTTTAGAAACGGCTTATTTTCCAATTGTACTCGTCTCATATGAATTTTTTACAAGACCTGGTGATGTTAAACCAGTCCACATCTGACAATGTTATTACCAGACAGCACAGGTTTAATACTGTCAGTATAACATTAAAGCCAAGATTTTTAAGGTTCCGTACCTAAGGGGTAAACCTTTATCACTGTCTGTCTGTTTGTCTTTTTAATTTTATTAAGACTCTATACCAGAAATATCGAATAGATCATAGATATTTTAATATTTTAATTATTATATTTTTAGGAATTTATTATTAGAATTTATTTAGATTGGTGGACTAGTATAATAAGTAAGAGAATATCTGGCTCACTTTAACGACAAAAAACAAAGCTGACTTCAAATATGTCACTCATTATATATATTTTTTTTTATGGGAAAAAAGCAGCAAACGAGCAGAAGGCTCAATTGATGGTAAGTGATCAACGCCGCCCATGGACATCTGCAACACCCGAGGGCTTACAAATGCGTTGCCGGCCTTTTAGGAATGAGTACGCTCTCTTCTTGAAGGTTCCCAGGTCGTAACGGTTCGGAAAGACCGCCGGCGGCAGCTGGTTCCACAGAGTGGTTGTGCGAGGCAGGAAATGCCTTGAAAATCGCGCTGTTGTGGAACGCTGGACATCGAGGTGGTGTGGATGAAATTTTTGGTTTTGGCGCGATGTCCGATGGTGAAATTCAGCCGCTGGGATCAATCCAAACAATTCCTCGGAACACTCCCCGTGATAGATGCGGTAGAAGATGCAGAGTGACCCAACATCGCTACGCATAGCCAAAGGATCAAGCTGATCGGAGAGACCTTGATCGTCGATAACCCTAGCTGCCCTATATCTATTTGATTTTGAGGGTTTCTTCAATGTATTCCCGGACTCCAACATCCAACACTAATGAAATTAATATGGGATCTTATAGTAACTAAACCAAATTCAATGTCAAAATTATTTTTAATCGGTCGAAGTTCTGTAGTAGCAAACATTAAAAAACTAGTCAAGTGCGAGTCTGACTCGTGCAAGAAGTGCTCTGCACCATTATTTATAAAAACGCCAAAAATCATCTCTGTAGTATTTGTTGTTACAGCGGCAACAGAAATACATCATCTGTGAAAATTTCAAATGTCTAATCATCACGGGTTCATGAGATACAGCCTGGTGACAGATGGACGGACAGACAGATACACAGACAGCGGAGTCTTAGTAATAGGGTCCGGTTTTTTGAAGTCAGTTGGGAACAGTCCATGTCTGGCAACTCACAGAGAAGAATGGGCATAAATGAAAATATGCCATTGAATAGTTAAGTCAATTTGTTTATAACTACAGTAATCGAATGGATAGGCTCGTCCTGGAAAGTAAAGCCTCACGGAAGACCAGCGTTAAGTGGAAGTATTGTACTTTCGCTTTTCGTCTGGTATCGTTGACGTATCGGCAAGCCCTCGGTGTTGCAGATGTCCTCTTTGACTGCTCTGCTCGCTTGACAACTTTTATTCAGAAAAAATAATAATAAAACTCGAGCTTTTTAGGACCCTACAAAGATTTCATAAGAAATTAGTGACAGATTTTAAGATAATTAAACACAGCTCATCCCTAAACTATATGAATATAGAGATTAAATATTAGGTTTTCTAAGATTTATATTAACATAAGAAATTTATTTTTCGAATCTTAAGTAAGCTACATAATCATCATATATTATAAAAATAATTCTTAACATAATTCCCTTATTTTTCAAAATATGCCCGACGTGAGTAGTTCCTTTAACCAGAGGTATATTTATACCCCTTGAAAATTCGTTACGGGAATGTCGGGAAATGTTGAAAAAGTTTTTTCCCGAAATGTTTCACGTGTTCAAGAGTTCCATCAAGAGCGTCGGGTTCCGCACCTCACGATGTTTGTCAAACACTCGAGTGCCGAGTGTTTTAAATTCTATCATAAAACGTTTCAAGTTGATATTTCGCCACGAGAGAACTTGAAAAATATAGAATTTCCTGAAATACCTTACGCAATGTAAGATGTTTTAAGAAATTTTATGGGAACTTTTTTTTGTTTCAATAATTTTTAGGTTTTTATATAAACTTTTAATGCAATTTTTGTACATTGTTTTCTTAATATTGGACTAATAGGTTATAAAATCTAGTCAGAATTAAACATAATAAGAACAACTAAAACACCCATCACTCAACTCAATCGTTAGTATACTACGAAAAACTACATTTTACAATACTATCATAATATACGAGCAATCTTTATATACAACTAACTGCTGCCCGCGACTACGCCTGCGTAGAGGGGTGAAAATTTAGGGTTGTATGTATTTTTGTATGTGTATCATAAAAAAATAAAAACAAGAAATTTTATATAAAAAATAAAAAAAAATTGGGGTGGACCACCCTTAACATTAAGGGGGATGAAAAATTGATGTTGTCCGATTCTCCACCCTGGCCGATATGCATACGAAATTTCACGAAAATTGGTCGGACCGTTTCGGAGGAGTTCAATTACAGACACCGTGACATTTTTTATAAATTTTATATATTTAAAAAAAACGTGACAATATTTTATATATTCGATACATATTCGGATTGTTTTTGACCGCTGTCTCACCTGATGATAGGTGGCGATGTAGCCATTAAGAAGCCAGATAGTAAAATCCTCTTGAATCTTGCTTTGAAAAAGCCCAAGTTGTATTTGGATATACAGACATTCTTTATCGCACACATATGAATTTACTACTTAGAATCCAGTTCTCTTTAACTTGAAAATACTCAAATGTGTTTTAGAAGAAAAAATAAATATAGAGGATTTGAATTTATGGTTTTAAAATTATTGTAGTGGTCCGTTTGTTTGGCAAGACTAGTGTTTTTTTTTACCTAACCTACTCGCCATTCCTAAGAGAAACATTTAGGTAAACGGAATCAAAAATCACGTATTAAAACTATTTCATTAATGTTCTGAATAATTAAAATCATGCAAGTTCTAAAATGTAGTGCGGTGATGTTGTAATGTGTAAAGGTGGTGATAATCACAGAACAGTTTATCGATATCAAATTGAAATATCTGGATCCTAATTATAATTTTTTTTTGTTTTCCGTTAGTTGTAAATTTTAATCTCAAAGGTATAAAAAAATTTGATAAAAACATGTAAAATTCACACTGTCCAATATATTATTTCGTTGTCAAGGAATGAAACAATCCTTCATGGAGAAAAGAGTATTAATTTGTGTTCTTGACCGCTTCAGTTTGAGTACGCTTTTTTTTACCTTCATTCATATATCAATCCTTGCATGGCATGTCTCGTAAAACAATTTCATTTCGGTCGGCTAAAACTTCAAAATGGTAAAGGTAGGCACAAATGTGATATAGACATATTATAATGTTGTGATAAAAATGTAAAGTGTAAAAATTCTACACAGTGGCTGTAAATTCGTTTTTCAAAAACTTTTTACTACATAAAAAGGGCAAGATTCGTTTGATAAAAAATTTAAATCTAATATTGTTATTGTTATATTATAAGTATGTTTTATTTGTTTGATACTTTTTTTCTTATTTCTATCATACTCGTATTTGGTGGCGTAACCAACCGATTTACTGCGGAACCAAATATGGTTTCATATGCACTTGTAATTTTTTGTTATAAGCATGTAATTAATTTTCCTTAGTTGCAGAATGGATCCTGCTCGCTTTTATAGGTAATGAATAAAGTATGGTTGATGCTTGAAGCTGGTGATGGCTTACTAAGTGGTGATGAATTAGCTTCCGATTCTCATAGATAATATGTTCCATCTAAAGAATTTCAACGTCACTCAAAGAGTCTAATATGTCTCGCGATAACATCTGAGTATATTGCCGGCTCTTGTTATACTCGAAACAAATAATGATTCCACTGATAACAAAACTGACCCTCCACTAGCCACGCTGATTTAAAAGTGGAAATCACAAAATATTTTTTGATGATTTGCCTGAATGCCAAAAATGTTTTCTTTGCGATACAAAACTTACACCATGTGCAAAATTTGTAGTTGTATTATATTACAACGATAAACGAAACAAAAAAACTGTTTGTCGGCATTTCATGATTAAAATTACAGTGGTAATTTATATTATTACTAAAACTAAAATTTCTAATCCTTTCTTTATTTCATATGAACCCATATATGTCTAAAGTAATTTCGATTAAAATTTGTCTGGACGCATACGAACCCATATATCATCTATTTTTTTTTTCAGTTTTTATGAGTGTTTTTTTATTTCGTAATTGTAATTAATTTTATACTTAAAGAAAGCAAAAACTATCATCAAATTTTTTTTTCATCATCTTATTCATATTTCATGCAGTAAAGGGTTAATAAGCACAGCATTTTATCCTTTAACACTCCAGTAGGCGCGCCTCTACTTAGGACGTTAGTGCGCGCGCGTTCTACGTATGTAGAACACTTTTAATCTAAAGGTTTTCAAACGAAAAATTGATGTATTAAAAATTCATCTGTCTAATACTCATAAAAGTTTTATTGTTAGACTAAATCAAATTAAAACTTCTCCTTACAAAAAAGTAGGACCTATAAAACAGCCTTCTTGAAAAACTTAAAATAAATTGTCCATATTTTGCCCATAAACTTCCAATTCTTCTGTGATCGAGTAATTAATTATGCAGGGTATCATTTTTAGACGTATAGCACTGATTTCTAAATGAAATTATCGTCAGATTCTGAATTTGAATCCAATTTGATTCCGGCATGCTAATCATAGTACCTTTTGCGTTACTTTCTGAATTGGGCTTTTTGAAACTTCTTTCTTGTTATGTATCCATATTGTTTAGCAATTACAAAAAAAACTCTTCAGCTTCAAAATCACTTTTTTCTGTCATCGTCATCAGAACATTCCTCTTCAAACCATCTAGAAATTCTTCCTTCAATGCTCCATGAGTCCATTATTACGTAAAAAAACAATCATTTCAGATACTAATAATCATACATAACATTACAAATATACTTACAACTATCGAACATCGACGGCAGCTCGTAAGAAATATGTCAGGCGAATGGTCGCGCGCTCTAGTATCGTGGGTGGTGATTACAAATCTACATTACAAATCCGCCACTAACTAGATCATTGTAACTTAAGGAAATAATTGTTTGATTTTTTTATTTTTGATTTAGAGTATTAAATTCGGCTTCGGATACCCTAAGTGCAAAACTACCTTAAACTAATGCAACATTCCATTATCATGTTGGTGACTAAATTACGCTTGACGAAAACTCGTACTCAGTTATCCATGTCTATTTTATTTGTAGCTCTTGCTTTTTCATTATAGAGTTCGTAATGAAAAAATGGGTGAAACTAAAAATCATTATTATTATTTAGTTTGTTACTTACTGCCGTTGTGATTGCTTCTCCCAAGGTCACCACAATAGAAGAGTACGGGGTGTACACGATGCTGCCTGCGCAGCAGCTCACCCCAATCAGCCCCTGGCCACCCGACGGCAACCTCCTGGATCGCATGGACGAATTGGCGCACAAAGGTAAAGGTAATGGTGACCACCATTTCTTCCACTCCACTCTCCATGCAAGCGTTCTGTAGACATACAAAGGTTACAGATGTAAAGGGTCCATCTCTGAGATTTACAAAGGCTCTAAATGTAAAATTTATTTTTATATGTTAACGATTCCGTTACAAACCAGTGAGCCATGAAGTTGTGAACAATTAAATCTTTTAATAATATGAATAAAACGGAGTTATATTGAATTATTGTAGCTCCTCTTTGAAAATAATATAATTATGGTCGTATTTTTTTCTTTTTAAAATAGAAAATAACCGAAGACAACTAACTGTGTTAATCAAATAAATATGGACTTTGTAAATCTAATGAACCTGCTGCTAGATTGTCGTTGAAAAAATGATGTCATATTCTATCTAAATTTTGCTTCCTAATTTATGTAAAGATGATTAATATTCTCGATGTAAATGTAAAGATGATAAAAATTCTAACAATACACAATCAGTATAATCACGTATAAAATGTATGAGATTCTACTAACACGCGACAAACGAACAGACCTGTGTGACAACCTGTTGCATTGACAGTCCATTCGGTATCAGAATAACTGACGCGTGATTAATTGGAGTAAGCAGGATTGTGGTGCGACAGGTCACAGCGGTGTTAACCAGCTCGGCGGCGTGTTTGTAGGAGGCAGGCCGCTCCCGGACTCCACGCGGCAGAAGATCGTAGAGCTGGCCCACTCCGGCGCGAGGCCGTGCGACATCAGCCGGATACTGCAGGTCTCCAACGGCTGCGTCTCCAAGATACTCGGCAGGTCAGTCCAAATGTTTACCGCCGCGGACCTGGAAATTGGAACGAGGCCACTGCAGTACAGCTTCGCCTTGTTGGTGATAAGTAGGTACTAGAAGTCCGACACCGATAATGTCGAAATTCGGAACTCTGTTAGTAGGGACTAGAAGTCGTACACCGATTAGGTCTTGAGTTTCGGAATTATCACATTGAGCATGTTGCAGGTTTCCAACTTCTGTGTATCTAAGCAAGCGGAACATAGCAATATATTCTGTAGTTGTGAGTAGTACGCGCCAGAGTTTTATCTCGATGCAGCTATCTAGCGGCTGCTCCTCTAAGATTATTTTATAGGCTTAGATCAGACTGGAATTAGATCAAATGATTAACCTAAATGCCCATTGAGAATAATTACTTATCTGATAAAAATTATTTAAAATTGTATTGTAATATCATTTATATCAAATTTTGCACCCATAAATTATCCAGTAATCGTGATCATTTTCCAGCGTTCATAAAAATTCATCTCACGACGTGCGATATATATTTAAACCATTGTAGTAAATTAATAACTTCCACTCCGACCTCTAATAAAAATTGACCAGGAAAATTGCCACAGATAATTATTTTCAATATTTGTAAAATCTTCAACCGCAAAATAATTACGCCGCCCGCTCGGATCTGGCAACACTATACTCGAAACATCTGAAAAATGCAGTTGGAAACCTATACCAGCGTCTAACCGGTTGTCACCACAGCATTATAGTAACTGACCGCACGTCATAGGAAAACACCACGGGCAAGCCGACCATCCAGCATAAGGTAACCCCTGTGCACCAGCAAACGTTGCTCCAACCGAGGTCTGTCTATTTTAGCAGACCTTGACTATGAAGGTTGGTTTTAGCCGACAGGCGTGAAACCCGAGCTCATCTATTTTTGTAGTGACGTATGGCCCGTCTTATGATTTTTGTTTCGTGCGTTTGCGGTTAAATAATATATCGGGTTTGCGCACTTAGTAATGGGATACGTTACTAATTATTTGAGGCAGTCACAGCGTATCGAAATGTGGACTCGATCAATTGATACGTATAACAACTTGCTTTACACTTCTCTGTGCTGTTTTAAATTGCGAACCGATTGTACGTTACGTTTCGTAACAGCTTGACACAATGCTTTGAATAAAATGATTTTGACACGTGAATGTTGGGTAACTTTCTAGGATATTCGCTTGATATTGCAAAATTATTATTTTAGTTGCTAATCAGAAATATTATACTTACATTTCATATCGTTGGTTACTCATAACGCGATTCCTGATGTTATTTATGATGTTAACCTATTAATTTTTAAATTTTTTTTTTTTATTAATCATATCCTCGTATTAAACTTTAAACAGGCGCTCGGCGTCAGCCGGTCGATAAAGCGAATAACAAATACTCAAACTCGGCATCGAACTTGATACCTTACGGGACGTGCAATTCGACACCGGTACTTCACAACCCCTTGCCCCGACTTTGGCCGTGGTACCTGCGCTAGCCAGTCAATTAACTGCCCGTATACCCTTCTAATTTCCTAACAAAAAACGACAAACTGACATTTGTTGCATTTATATAAAAACATCATTTTCGTTCCGTCCTTACTGTTTAGCATGACTATTAAATTATATACTCCTAATTATTCATAAATGTATTTTCCAAATGCAGTACAATCAGATTACTCTTGAACGAATTTACGCTGTATCTTCTTATCCTTTAAACGAAAAATTCTTGTATATGAATATAATCGGAATCTCGGAAACGGCTCCAGCGATTTTCATGAAATTTAGTATATGCGTAGATTCGGGGGCGAAAAATCGATCTAGCTAGGTTTCATTTTTATAAAATGTCTATTTATCGCTGTTTTCAGGAAATGAAAAATATTATTCGAATATGACGGTAAATATCGCCACAAAAAAAATGTTATAATAGCTCGGTCGGTAATCGGGCGGCCCCAAAACAGACGGCCGCGGTTCTTATCACGATCATTTTACACTCATTTTTTGTACTTTACACTTTATACACTTTACACACATTTACACTTTAGACACTTATTTTTTGTACTTTTTTTTCTATGCCAGATCATTATCTTTATTTCAAATATATGTCCAAAATATATGATTTACCAATAAAAACCGAGCAAAGCTCGTTCTTCCAGGTACTTTCGCTTAAATAAAGAATTGTGATATTTTAATTATTCTACAAGTGTCATCGCTAATGGGTATCAATTAATAATTGGTTATCTCTTCATCTTTTATCATTTAATATACAATGATGTTTTTATTATATAGATGATGCATGTCCATACTGTGACTGTGTAAAAATTGTTCCACTTTACATAATATGACTATATATTAGATGACATAGAACGTATAATATGGAAAGAGAGAGCAGTCTATAGAATTGCAATGTAATTACGCCAATTGGTGTAATTTAAGCGACTCAATTTCTGTGCGCTAGTGTCATGTCGTATCTAGTATCATTGTTAATATATATTTTTATTATAATGTTGGTTTTTTTCATAAATGTTTATAACCAGACAAAGTGGTAATTGACTTTATCTGTAAAATATAAAGGAAACAAAATTTAAAGCGTGTATTTCAGGCCTTTGTATTTTATGAACTGTTTATGACACACAATAGTTATAATTGAACACCAAACGAAACACGAAAGTTTTATACATCCACTTCATCCCAGACACGGCTGCCGCCCATTCGTTGGCTTAAATGAAACTGAACTGGATTTATCGCGTTTATGCTCATACTACAGTAAAACATTACTATCCTATACTGCATGAAGAAATCTCACCTTTTTTTAGACTTTTAATTGGTAGTATTCGCTTGAATATAAGAAATTATCATCATTTTTCAATCAGGTACTACGAGACGGGGTCCATCAGGCCCCGCGCCATCGGCGGCTCCAAGCCGCGGGTGGCGACAGCCGAAGTCGTCAGCAAGATCGCCCAGTACAAGCGCGAGTGCCCCTCGATCTTCGCGTGGGAGATCAGGGACCGTCTACTCAGCGAAGGCGTGTGCACTTCGGATAATATACCCAGTGTAAGTAATCACCTCGGCACTAGCCTATTAACTGATAACCATGCATGCTAATAAAAACATATTATGAATAAACTCGAAAATATTAAAGGAACATTTGGTGAACAGCCGTTATCACAAACGGTAACTTCTGCTTATAGTATTTTTGTGCTAACGAACGTTTAAAAGAATACAAAGTTTTAAATTGTTATGCAAATGATCTACATCACTTAAGCCCGGTTTCTGAAACACTGATCATCGTAGAAATTAACTAATCAGCGGTCAAACGGCTTTTCAACCGTCATTTTAGTTGCTAAAAGGATGATTGTTGTAAAGGATGATTAAATCTCTGAATCATCGGATGATCAGAATGATCTTCTTAATGATCAATTCAAAGAGTTTAATCATCCTTTTGACAACTAAAATGATATTTGAAAAGCCATTTGACAGCTGATTAGTTAATTTCGACGATGATCAGTGTTATCTAGTGTTTCAGAAACCGGGCGTTGGAGTTAGTACTTCACAAGGGACAAAAAGTTTTTTTTTTTCAAAAACATTACTTTTTTCATTAACTCTTGCAAGTGAACCACATTTGCTTACCATTGTAAGCGATCCTTAGGTAAAATTTTAATTAATTTCGAAACCAAATGGCACTATCCATTTTTTTTATTTTCATTTGATCATCGTGAACGTCCTTGGGTAATTTTAATCTCTTATACAATTTAGGAACTTAAGTTAGAAAAAATATCTTTAAAATATAAATTAACTATTACTTCATTACAAACCATGAGGAGCCGCGATAGCTCGAGCAACCTGAGTTCAAATCCCGGTGCCGGCACCAATGAAATTGTTAATTTTAAGTGTTAATTTATCACGTGACGTTTATCACAGTGAAGAAAAAAATCTGCGTACCGTTGAAATAATAACAAAAAAATATTTCCAATATAAGTGAAGTCTGTTCATCCGCAGTGGGTTCACGTGGACTATGCCGTAATACCCTCTGTGCAGGGGCCTTTGCCCAGCAGTGGGATATAAATAGATTGTTACTTTGCTTTATTTTTAAAAATAAAACTAAAAGATTTTTCTACTAAGATACAAGTGAAAAAAAATAGAAAGAGATACATTTATACTAATCTACTAGTATATTCAACTTTTTTATTTCAAACTTATTAAATTTTTTAGTTTTAACATTAAAATAAAATGATGAAAAAACTCGCTCACTTGTTTCGCGAAAGGCGGATCGGATGAAATTTGTACGGACGCTTTACCAAGACGCCATTCTAAAGTATGAAAAATACGAAAGGGCGACTCGTAAAGCACAATGGGGCAGTACCTACGTTGAGACTATATACAGGATGCTACGACGCCTTATCTTTCCCCGGCACTATACAGGACTCCCCATTTTGTTCTCCCCTCCTTCGCTCCGTGGCAAAACAATATGACGTTATAACTTTTTTTTTCTTCATCTTTTCCCTTTTTTGAATACGAGGACGCTCCCTTCTGGGACATCCTTTAGACGCCGCCGATACTGTTAGCATATAAAGGTTGATGTGATATTAAGAATGGCCGATTTAATATTATCTTTCTGAACAAGTTGAACGCCCTATTGTGAAACAAAATTTTCCATTAAATATCATGAATTTATTGAATGATTCTGAATTCATTCATTACATCGCATTACATCGTATACAAAAAACTGTTAAAAAATTATGGTAGTTTTAATACATACCTAAAATTATTGCCTCTTACGACATATACACAAAAAGGCAATAAAGTCGTCATATGATGGTGTTATTACGAATTTCTCTATTATTCTCTATTATTAGTATTACTCTATTTATTTGTATGTAAAAGTAAATAGTAACAGCTTATACAAATCCCTCTGCGAAAAATTCCTATACGGGGGATAAAGTCTTTAAATTATCAAAGGAATTTAATTTTAATATTAAAGGGACAAAAAAATACGTTGAAGTAAAAAAGTCGGGATGAATAATTAATATTTTGAAAATGTATAATATGTATCTCTTTCTGTATCGTAAGTAGAAAAATCTAAATTGTTATCAAATATCAGTATGGCGAGCTTTAGCTGGTTAATGAGTGGGCTTCATCTAGTTAAATTATGTTTACTCAACGATTCAATTAAAACATACCGTTTTGTCTTTTTATTCGTTACCCTATCAACTCTTTTATGGGGCGATAACAATGTCGTTAACGTATCGACGCGTGAAAACACTAAATCCACTGAATTAAAAGCGTAAACGTCGCGAAAATTATGCGTCTCGGAACGCGAACGAATTCTTAAACACCCTTTCGGATATCGCCCCACGCGGAATACTTAACATAAATTAATTAAGAAATTCGCACAATCACCCTGTTGCTGACGGTTTGACGAAAAGAAAAAAAACCGGCATTAAGCACTCTCCTCCGTGGATATCGAGAAAAACATAAAACCGAAATGGAGGGTAGCGAACAGGACGGCGATAGCGGATCACGACGGGAGCGAAAGAGTTGGACCGCTATCTCTTTTCCCAACGTCTGAAGGGTGGAGGGGAGGAGAGGCGATTTTGACACGGTATGAATAAAGAAAATATGAAGGCTTTTGTCGCCGTAAAAATTCCTGTACACGGGATAAAGTCTTTAAGTTATCAGAAGGGAGCCGTTAAGGGAGGTTTAAGGTGGGCACGCATAGACAGGTGCTTTATATGGGGTGGTTGAGTCTTCGTATTTATCGACGCTCGATGAATATACTGCGTGTCTTCTTTCGTATATTGTTCACGAGGGCCCTCAGACGCTGAATATATTAACGTCGCGACCGACCCTCAACATACTACTTCGATGTCTGATCTCATTAAATTGGATGCGTGCTTTAATTAATATTTATGGTTATCGGCAACGTATGTCTATATTCTGCCATAATTATTATATTTGATGACATGAACCGTGACGTTCCCGTCAAAACCAATTCTATTTTACACGACAAGATCACGCGTTACCTATACCAAAATATATGTTAAAAGGAAAGTACCTATAATATACTATAACAAGTAACAGTATATTTCTAAAAAAATTGTATAAACTGTTTTTTTTTTTTCTGAGTGCATCACCCGGAAGGCGCAGGTTCGAATCCTGACAGCTACGGAAAGGAAAAAAATAAAACTAAAAAAAGATTTAAATGTAAACTAAATTTGATGGAGACAGATTAATTGCCAATTGTAAAATATTTTTACGAACGCAGAAGCGGAGAGGTTCTAAGATAGAAATAATCACGTGACACTGGCACTGGGCAAGACACGAAAAGTGATAGTAAATTAATCAACTGGCCTTGAAATAGCCATGCACAAATGTATAAAAAAACGTAAACATATCGTCTGCTATCTAAATGAAGACATCAAAGAAGTTAATAAACATAAAACTGTTTTACGGGCTAGTCTGGCCCGTGACAATGGTTGGTGTAAAATATTCAATAGTAATAATAATCTTTATTTAATAATAATAATTATTATATATTATTATTCGTCGGAGTTATAAAACAGTTTTTAACTCACTCCAAGAATAGTAATTTTTCGTAAGAAGAGTAATACAATAAAAATTACTATTATAGTACTTCGGCACACTTTAAACATATCTGATTTCAGAAGTACTCCGCAAACAGTTATACGCTTACACTTTCATTTAAAATTTTCATTCTTAAATGTTCATTTTATTTCATTTTAATTCCTAATATTTTTTTTATTCGTTTCATTTTAAAATTGTAAAACTTAGATGAATATCTCTTTCCTCATTTTGTAATAAGTAGAGGCCTAATGAATAATAAGGACGTCTAAAGCTGATAAGCTTTTACAGTAACAACCCTTGACTAAAGCGGCACTAACAAAGCTAAACCCCGTTAAGTCACCCTAAACGATTCCCTTTGTCGTTGAAATTTTGCCTTTACCGCGTTAAGATACAGTTTATATTTAATTAAGGCGAAAAAATGTGAGGTAAGGGGGTCAGTTGTTGGCAGATAGCGGGGTCATATCGGTGCAGGGCATGCGTTCCCGTAGCAAATCACTTCCGGGCCACTAAATCCAGGCCAAATTAATGCATTTAGCACGCTCCCTTCGGCGCTTTAACTGGGGATGACAACTTTATTTTATTATATCGCGATATTTTCCTGTCATGACAGTTGTTGGGTTTTTTTTTCCTAGTGCGGGGCGCAATTCTCGGTGCAGAAACGTTTGACATTGTTCCGCGGAATGTATTCAATGATTAGGGCATCTAATAACTGAAAAGCATCGACTAAACTGACAAAATATAAGAATATTTCGTCGTTTTAGTCGAACCAACAAATACGTCAATAGATAAAGGTGAAGACACCTTTATTCTTGAAATACTACATAAATGAAATGTAACTTAATGTAAACATTAATCAATCTTAATTCTGATTAGTTTATTAGCTATGGTATGATCATGCAAGAATTCTGAATACTATTGAACAAATGGGCAGGCTCATCTGGAGAAGTATCGCGGCCACATAATAGTCCATTGTGAACTGGAAGTATTATGCCTTTGCGTTTCATTTGGTTAGTGGGGTAGCCAAGGCATATGTGGGTTATAACTCTACAACTTATGTAGAGTTGTAGATGTCAATGGGCGCAGGAAACCACCTGACCTCATGTCACCACATATAAACGAATATAGTGTCGTGAGTACCTCATTATATAGTACAACTTGAGGACACTTATAAAATAAACATAGGACCCCAATGAAAAGCATACTCAGAACACTGATTTAAAATATCATTAAGCTGTTATCGGTATCGGCGATCTCACGGGCACTGGGGATATATCGCAGCAACAAATTGTAACAAAGGAGTCGGGGAAAGAAGATTATCGGAGATGACGCGTGGCGAACACGTGGCGTGCATGCGGTCGTATATAGTAACAATTACCCCACAGCTCGAGGCGCACTCAAAATGGGACTTAAACACAAAACCATAAAGCTTATTTTCAACTGCGGATAAATCGAGCTAGATTTAAAAATTGTTACCAACGACAGTCTGCTTTATCATAAAGCAGTGCGATCGGTTATCG